AGTGTCAACTAGGAAGCGTATCCCAGAATGTCGATCAGTGACGAAGAAGAGGCGACATGGAAGTGGCTCGCCAGCGACGTTAGTCGCCGTCACGTGCTGGCTCACACGTTTCCCGCCTGGTTAGCCTCGAAGGTGCAAGGTCGAGTGCACCTTTTGGCATTGGCACCATAACGTTTATGGTACCAGCACAACCTGGGTTGGGATTGTCGCGATTTGGAACGTCTGCTACCGGTACGGGAGGCAGACCTGTTGCGCGAGCGAGACGTGCGACCGTTGGAAGAACTACCAGACCGCATTTCGTTCCTGATGCTGCACAACTCTCATACAATTTGAGATGTGAGTTATAACATCGAAACTTGTTGGCTCAACAGCCGAGGGAGGATGTGTTTTTTGACGAATCCGTGGCAGTAGACAGTGCAGCTGAGATACTAGTGTTGGGTTTCGTAGCATCCACAGCTCTGTCAGCCGCTTCCGCCAGCTCTATTAAGGGACACTTATGGAAGGGTGCGAGGATCCCTTGAACCGACTGTGGTAACCTCTGTAACCACAGTTGCTTGAGAAATGCTTCATCAATGTTGAAGTCAGCAATCAGCTGCTTCATCTGACGAAGCAGTTGCGTCGGCTTGCGATCACCCAGATGCACATCCCTGAAAAGTTCTTGCACTTTCTGCTGGTCAGTAAGTGCAACACGTTTGATGAGGGCGGTTTTGAGGCGATCGTAAAGATTCGGTGCTGGGTCATCTAGCACATCTGAGACGTCTTCGATCACATTTTCCGGTAAGCTGACGATGACTAAGTTGGACTTAGTTTCTTGTGATTGAATGTGTCTCAAGGCAAACTGAGCTTCCACATGGGAGAACCATGCAGATGGTCTGTGGGCCCAGAAGGTGGGAAGCTGGAGGGTTATGGCCATCTGCGCAGTCGAGTCGTTATCCGCCATTGATCAGGGAATTAACGAGGCACGATAGTGATAATAATAATAAAAAATTACAATGCAAAAATAACCAATGAGGAGTGCAATAAAAAAAACGCTAGACCGTGCCAAAAACAAAAATAGGCCAGACAAATCAACGCAAGAGAACAAAGGTACTAGACAAAGTAAGAAGTGATACTCGGGCTCACCAATTTGTAGGGATGCGTGTTACAATTCCGTAACGTTTGATCAACCCTACTTAATTTGATGTGCTCTAGTACCTGCTTAACCAGTACTTTACCTAACGTGTAAGTACCAACAACAAAACACAAATCAAAAGAACTGATACGCAATGTATTTAAAGGAGCTATGTATTTAATTAAGGTAAATGTAATAATAATGAATGAGGGAAAAGTTTAATCAACTTATCTGGCTTGTAAGGCTGAACTAGGGACTCGGAGTACGTGCGTGGTGATCAGCACAATGGAGCGCAAAAATGGCGTCCAAGCCTGCTCGGATGCATGCTCGTTAAAACAAAACTTAAAACACCCTAAGCATCCGGAGGCAAGCTAGAGATTTATTTAGTTAATTTAATTTAAACTATTTATTTTAGCCTTAGTTATATTTTGATGCCAGGAAAGTGCACTACAATGGAAACATCGATATAAGCCCTACAATTCTTTTCCACTGATTCGATATTGTTCACATGAAGAGGTTGTCTTATAAGACGCCTAAAACATTAACACAATGTAATCAAATCAGTTAATTAGTGCATCAATGATTCAAGTTATTCTTTACAAAGCAAGGATAACTAAGAAAGTTCAAGGATTCTGTCATGAAAATGATTGTAGATAAGATATCCACCTAAAGTTTTAGCAAGTAATATTCAGTACTGTAGGTAGACAGGAAGTATGATCATATTTTCGTGACAATATATACAACAATCGGGACCCAATATCTTAAGAACCACTAAGTCAAGTTTAAAACAAACATACAAACCAAATTATGTGAACATGTTAACAACAATTTAATGGGAAGGTAGTATATCAGAACCTAACAGTCATTTTTAATTATTAAAAACTTAAGATAAATTATTGTAAACCTCTCATTGAATGTAGCTTTGAAGAAGTTGGTTTTACTAACTCATTTCTATCTTTTCTTTCACCTACTCCTCTGCACTCAAGGTGAAATTTCTTTGCACATTGTATTTTCTTGTTATCTGTGGAATATGTTATGCTTTGAAAACTGCTATGTGCCATGGCCGCTAACGATGCACAGATATCGAGTGTCATCCACCAACATTCAACAAATCCCTAGTTGATTCCCGACCTGACTAATTAATGGAGAAGACACGATGGATGTGTATTGGGGTCGAAGGAACGAAAACCGAAACAAAAGAAAATACAGCTAATATACAGATAGTCCGCTGTTTAAAGTGACCTTATTGATTAGCTGATTGGTCTCTCTGCAGATTAGTTATTTCTCCTTATGTTAATTGGTTGGAGGCAATCAGCAGAACTACGGTTCTACAGAAAGGTTTTGGGTCATATCAAGAAAGATTGACAGCCAAAACCCTACACATGGGTGAACGCAGACAGTTTGAACAGACGAAAAGGATTAGAGTTGGCTACCTCTTGGCAATTACTAACTAGTAAGCAGAACATAGAACAGAGTATAGAATGGTAGTCAACCATCTACCTCAACTTCATGGACTTTGAGAAGGCCTTTGACAGCGTCGACCGACAAGTAATTTGCCAGGCAGTTGCTTCAACACTACGCAATACCACAAACCTTTATCAGCCTCATTCAACAACTATATGAAGACGCCACATGCCGAGTGATTCACAATGGGAAGCTCAGTGCTGCTTTTGAAGTGAAGACAAGAGTAAAGCAAGGCTTTCTACTATCACCCATGGTATTCCTAATTTTGGTGGACTGGATCATGCAGCAAGCAGTCAGGAGCTGTGAGAAGAGGGGGATACGCTGGCTAGACCAGAGGAAAGATCCTAGAAGATTTGGATTTCACCGATCACTTGTGTCTAATGCCACACAAACTTGAAGATCTACAGGCGAAAACTAACAAGTTGACAAAAGAGGCAGGGCACCGAAGACAGGACTTCCAGAGAATATACAGAAGACAGAGATGATGAAGATACACAACCAACACCACCACCACCAACAACAACAACAAGCTCCAATCACCATCAACGGGAGAAACTTAAAGGGAGTAGTCTCTCTCACCTATCTAGGCACCCAGCACCGTTTCAACTACAGGTGGCACAGACGAGGACGTCAAAGCCAGCCAGGATCGGAAAAGCATGACAGGTGTTCATTAGCCTGGAACCAGTGTGGAGATCTTCTGCACTCAGTATGTGGAACAAGATCCGGATTTTCAACACCAACTTCAGTAAAATCAGTGCTTCTGTATGGCTTAGAGACTTAGCACTTTACGAAAGGGATTTCCAACAAAATACAGACATTCATCAACAACTGCCTATGCTCACTCATTACTGAAGATCAGATGGCCAGAATAATAGGAATAAGCAACAAGGAACTCTTGAAACGAAGCAACCAAGAACCTATCACCCAACAAATATGCAGAAGGAAATGCAGATGGATTGGGCATACACTGAGAAAGCCGACTGGGGACGCCACGCGTCGGGCCCTCAAGTGGAATCCCCATGGGAAGCGAGGAGTTGGGCGTCCGAGGGTGACATGGAGGAGGTCGTGAGAGGAGGAAATGAAAGCTTGTGGGCTGTCGTGAAGCCAGGTTCCAAGGATTTCAGAGAACAGAGCACATTGGAGGCGTGCTACTGAAGTCCTATGTTCCATTAGGAACCCAAGGCACGAATAATAATAATAATAATAAGCAGAAAGAGGGACTCAAAGCATTTACCGTCAACTTTATTATTTCTGCATCAACAACAACACAATCTGGATTGATTTGACTCACTATTACAATCATCATTCATTTCCGGTAAATCAATGAGAAAAATTCGTTAATACTATTCACCATCATATTCCAAATGAAATCGCATTCATATCCGCCTCATCCATTCCATTGTATTTATAAGATTACTAAATGACTAAAATGTCACCTGTGACCTTTTTTTTGTTTGATAATTACAATCAAGACGTATATGATTTGGAGTACATACATGTACACCCCCACCCACAAGCCAAACAACAAGAGACATACAATTTCACACTGAATGATTAGATATCGTAATTCAGAAAGACAAAGAAATTAAATACACATTTTTGGATTCATTTAATATATCCTTGATATTTTAACTTTGAAACACGCGTCCTGGATTCTTCTGTTAGCCACAACCAATCAATTTATCATAATTTGATTATTTCCCTGTAGAAGCTCGGACCAGACCGTGCGAAACGTTGGAATTATTTGATTTCAAACTTGCTGTGATGTAGACAAATATAACTTATATCTAATATGAACCTTCTACTCAGCGCCTAATACTTGGTGTGCTATACGATAAAATCTTGATCATAGTTCACTATTTTCAACCATCCTATTGATTGACTGATCAACCATCTATCTGTCTATCTACCCTAGGCACGTGATCATATAAGGGATATTCTGATTGATCCCTCTCCAGATTAGTCATTTCTCTCTATCCACACATCAAAATGACAGTTAGAAATTGAAGTATCCTATAAATGACAACTACTCATTGAACCACGATAAAGCTTGAATGATAATAACCGATCAAAAGTGATTCAACTAAAAAATAAATCATATATTCGGCACTTATCATTGTTCTAATACTTCAGATAACAATTTCTAATACAGTAACGATACATTAATGATGTCTTGAAAGGCTATCGTAGTAATGATCAAAATAGCCAATTAGATTTCTCTATTTCGACTGGAAAGGCAGATTTTCATAAAATGTAGAGGCCTATATGATTTATTTCAGTTGTTGCTAAGGTGGTGGTCAATGCTACATTACTTTTGATACCGGATTTTTAAAAACACAACACCTCCCAAAAGGATTATAATAAAGGTATATATATATATGTATATGTATATATGTGTACATCATTCATGTATATCATATTCTTTTCATGCAGTTGACTCCACTGAATATGTGATAGATGGACTATAACTTGGATGTATTGATTCATGATAAATATCTTGCTCAAAATCATCATCACTATCAAGATAAATACTTGGATCCAATGTACTTGAATTATTCTTATCTCCAATAGAAGGTAGATATGTTGGCACTGGTGGTGGATTAACATCTAATTGACGTCGATGATTAACCAACCATGAATCATGCAGAAGACAATAAGCATGTACAGGACCAGGTGTTGGACCTAATACATATATAAGTCCAAGTTTTGGATTCATTCTCAATATCTGGAAATGACAACAGAAAAGGTGGCATATCAAAGAAGATGGATATGATAAATTTATACTTTTGATGTATTTACAGAAGTGAAACTTTTCAGATAAATCAACCTACAACCGGGTATAAAATAGCATCACTAGATTGCTACATTTCATAGTAGTATACAAAGAGTAAACAAAAGTGTATACAAGAAGGAAGAATAAATACATAAAGATGATAAACATTGTGAATAGTTTTGAGCCTTGTCGTCAGAAGTCTTTAACCATTGATTTCTATCATCTCAAGAGCATGAAGGAGTGAGTTACTTTTGGAGTTGACATTATTTCAAGTCCTGTTTCTTATAGGGAAAGTAGCATCAGGATAAACTACAACTGATATTCTACAGCAAAACATCATACTCTTATCATATCACACATAGTTAGGAGTACAATTTCACCTTTGGACCTTCACCATAACGCAGATATTTACATCATGGCAGTAATTGTTCACTGTCTTATCACTATCCAAATAGATCTTTCTGGTACAATAGGATGTCAATGAACAAATTTTACTACTAATATAGCTCATTGAATTACCATGTGTCAAGGTAGCAGCTGTCCATCAGGTTAATGGAATAAAGTTACATCATTCGTAAGGCTTAAAACATTTAAAGTAGAAAAAATGTTTGATCATTGTAGAATGACACTGTTTGTTTGTTTTTTAATGAATAGGAAACTAGAAATGTCTGCACACCAAGCATTTAATGAGTCATGGCAACTAACTCCCTATCTCATCTAGCATTATCCTAATACTTTTCAACTAGAGAGTGAAGATGTTTTCACATACTGATTGATGAACACGAATAATGTCGATATTGAAAGCTTTTGACTTCTTCGTAAGTTAGATATAATTATTGGTGATTTTAGAGATGTCCATCAGGATTTTGCAAGAGATAAAAGCAGAGAGGAAATGAAGCACATTATGCAAACGACTGTCTTAGTGCAAGGTGTACCATATTTGATGACAACTGTACAAGATGTCAGTAGTAAACATTCCTTCCTCCGTCTCCATCTTGTCGTTTTCTACAATTGGTGTTGCTGCTTCTGCTTGTGATGAAGATTCCGTGGCCTGCAGTGTTCGAGGATGGAGACATCAAGGTCTTCCTCATGGACTTCGAGTCAGTCATGGAGCTGGTAAGTGTCCGGGGTCCAGAAGTGAAGGTCATGGTGCTTGACACGTTGCTGAGGAGTCCAGCAAAAGCGGTACATGACGGCGTGGGACGTGTGGGTGGGAAGGAGACTTGGTAGAGAATGGTTGAGCGACTGGAGGCAGAGTTTGACAGCCCGGTGGACAGGGAGCTGGCGATGCAGAAGTCCCGCAGCACAGAAGTTGGAACAGACGAAGATCCGATGGCATTGGCTGTGAAGTTGACAAAACTACTTCGACGAGCACTTCTCGATTTGAATGAAGACTCTCAGGTGTAGTTGTTGACTGCACAGTTCACCGAAACTGTCATGAACGCTATCGTCCAGCAGCTACGACTAATGAACGCAGCCCAATCCATTGCTGGTAATAGTCTATGATTTCTACAACCCTCTCAACAAAAGTCCAACCATAGTCATTTTAATTCAGAACTATGAATTTCTATTACGTTATATCACTATGAAAAGACTTAATCACTGAGATACATTCTGAGTTACAGCAATACCTGTGAACAATTCCATCACGATGCAATAAGTTGGAGATTAATGTTTTCAGTTATGTAAAGAAGTGTAGGCTAACAGGTTACGGTCTTCGAAGTGATAAATATCAACTAGCTGAAGATCAATATGAATGCATCTAATCTTTACTGGCCTCATATAATGACCACTATTTTTGATTTTTTTTCCCGATATGATGAAGTTATAGATTTTAACACAAGGTTCTAAACTATTCTACCTACCAGAAATAATACGATTTGCCCTCTGTATCACTTAACATATCAACTGATTCATTTTTACGATTTATTGACATACTTGTAATTAATTCCACGTTGTTTTATTAGATCGAATTGTTCGTCCTCTGTTGACATATAGGCTCTTATGCAGATGCCTCGATATTGCCTAAATGTTAAGTATGATAATTTGGTTCGATGTGACTAGTAAAAGAGTCCAGGATGCGCGTCTGCTCCTATTTGGGACTCGTCAGCTGGATGTACCCGCATTTCAGTACAGAGTGATGTTGTTCCCTCCAAGACTCGAACCTTGTACTCATCGCGCTTCAAACACCAAGGCGTTATCCACTGTACCACGGAGGAACGATAGCCACTTCTTGTACAACGGGTAGTAGTTATTACTACTTATTGATATACTTGTAATTCTCCGTTGTTTTGTTGGGTCGAATTGTACAACCTCATTTTTGTAGTTAAACACACCTCTGTCAAACGTTGCAGCATTTCTTTTTAAAGTGGCTTTTTAAATGTAACTTTGTATCAACTTGACTGACTGACAAAACCAACGTAGAACTTTGCACATAAGTGGCATCGTGTCAAGTTGCCATACTTCACAGAAGTATACAAAGAACAGGTGGATAGAAAAAGAGTGACGTTAGAGCAGATAAAGAAGCGCGAAACAATAAACAGATTCAAGATAAAGGTTAGTGCAAATATTCAAGCTTTGTAAAATGTCAGGGAGTGAATAAATCTGCGCCACTGTCACCAGCAGTTCTCAACCACTGATTCCTTTCTCTCAGAGACTCCAACTTACAACATCAAATCACACACTTTAAATGGGGCATAGTAAACGAAAAGAAGTAAAACTACAAACTTTATAAAATGAAATGAATGGGCTGCATTTATATGGGGTTTGAAAGCGTCATCCAGATGTCTAAGCTGAGGTGAGTTTAATTAATTAAATTCTCTTATGCTGAAAGCTACTCATAATTTATATAAGTAGTACATAACACAACATCGAGAAACGAAAAATAATGCATAACAATTAACTGGTGAGGATTCGGAAAGAAAGGTAAATTATCTTTCTATAACTTCTAAATTTTTGCTATTCATTACAGCTGCTAAGACATTGCCTTATTCTCCTGTAGAAGAAAAGTGTCATCTTTGCTGTAGTTCATGTGCAGGCCTCATATATGCTATTGTATACCTTTTTTTTCAAGGGATTTGCATCTCGCAACTTTACTGCCACTGTTGCCTAGTACCCCACCTATGAGGAGGTGAATGAGAACTCCCTGATGTCTAGCTAGTAAGATGTGTTTAGAAGCTTCAACTAATAAGAAATGCCAATTAGCATACTCTATGTCAACTGCATTGCAAGTAGTTGTGGTCACGACTTCTTACATATACTGGATAGAGGGTAGAATAAAACGTCTGAATGTTCCATTACCAGTATTGGCAGGTTGTTATCATAGACGAGCTTCGCGTTTCCGCGTGGCTTGTATCCGACTCTCTGGGTCGACGAACTCCGCCACCGGATCAAGCATTAATCCTTTCCGGAGAAGAGTATACAACTTGCTGTAGGCTGTTTTATAGTCCGTTTTCACTCAACTTCTCAGGAGAATACCCAACATTAATAACTTATTGTTCAGCTTCGTGATCCCCGGCAACTTCATCCAAAGTCCCTTACCAACGTCTTGAAATCTCCATCTTCAAATACTGACAGTAGTGACACACAATGAAAAGATGCTTCGTGGACCAGTAGACATTATTTATCATCAAATTACAATGGTAATGATTAAAATATCGAACATTACAGTAAAGACACATTTGCGAATGATATATTTGATTTCAGATGGTTGGAAGCAATCGGTAGGAAGTTCTCGAACCACAGTGCACCGCGATGCAGAGTCTTCTAGCCTAGTGACCATATTAGACAAAATGATAGAATCCGGTGAGCGTTTGGAACTAAATAATATGAAATTCGTCACTCTCCGGTGGAAAACTGGTGTTTTGCATCCCACTGTGGCTACTGTTTCACTGTGTGATATTTCTAATGAACAGACTAAGATGGAATTAGAATCGACCACAGTGCCCAAGTTTTACCCTTATATTTATAAGTTAAAACTGAGGTAAAACAAAAAAAATCCAGCAGCCTTGTAAAATGTGCAAAAACAATCTATTCGAATGTATGTAAAGGTAAGATAGGCTGTTGAGGCAAATACTGCTCCGTTTCCATACTAGTTATCATTTCCTAGTAGAGTGTCGATTACATAAAACAGTGAAACTCCTTCAACATCGATCAAATTTTGCAGACAGGTTTTTGCAATGCAACCAATTCAGCCATTATAAAGAGCAATTGAATTTTTCACAGGCGTAAGGAATAATCCTTTTATGATCATTAATACACTTTACTAATAGTTATGAGGTGTACACAGGGTGTTTTTTGTATCACCTGCGTTCAACGATTGAACATGATATATCTTGCCTTTGTGACAAATAGACTGAAATAAAAAAAACAGTATTAATGTACAAGTCATCATCATCATCATCAATATCAACATAGGACCAGGTATTACTGCCTAACGGTCCGAGTTGCCACACCTCATATCACTACATCAAGTAAAAAGGCAGTGAAGTGGAAGATGAATAGAAAATTCAGTCAAGAGAAGTACAATATACTAAAAGAGAAAAAAAACAATGAAAAAATGGTGAGATTCGGTATAGTGTAGTTAAGATGAGGATAATATGTGTATACATCTGCGCCACTGACATAGGTCCTGAGCCATATCACCTAGAGTCAGTCTCCAACCACTGGTTCCACTTGTCCCGCGGACCCCAACCACCTAGTCTACATCACCCCCACATGGATCAAACCAACAGTCAAACACTTCATACATTGGTGTCATATTTTAGTCTGGCCGTTTCGAGCCTTTTTCCAGTCTGAACCTACTTCGGCCAACATTGTATGACGAGGCAATCGGCGACTAAGCATACGTAACTCATGTCCCAGCCAGCCATCTCAGTCGATGACTGTTCACAACCTCGTCAACCGACTTACCTCTTCTCCCTAAAAACTGTACTCCTGACTTCTGTGTTGCTCAAATGGTGACACCACGGAATACTGCCTACAATACGAAGGCAACGGTGGTCAAACACCTTCTCATGTACAAGAGTAGATTTTGATTGCTTAAAAAACACACTTCAACTTTAGATAAGGCTATTAGAGGACGAAGATTATCTGAAAAATGTGGTGTATTTGCGCAATACATTTCGAACAATCTGATCACATATTTACTTGTCAAGTCAATTTATATATGAAAATTAAAGGTTAAATATAGTGAATATGAAAAGGTTGTGACACTAGTCTTGGTAATATAATCAGATTACCAAGGATTACCAAGGTAAATTAAGTGAAACAACAAATTGTTTTTGTACACACAGCGGGGATTAAGTTTACGAATGGCTAACGCTTCGGCAAACTTCAGTATGTGCCCCTGATTATTCCTGTATATTATCTTAAACGCTGTTTTCGTATTAAACCTGTGATTCATTTCAATGAAGATGTTTTGCTATAGATGATGATGGATGTCTGTCACCTGCACTTATCAAAGTTTGTGTGTTAAACTGTTTTTCTAGCCATTTGGGGATGTATTCACCCACCCTAGTCTGCACTGAACGATTACTCCTCCCTATGTATGTGTGCCCACACATACATGTAAATTGGTAAACGCAGTAGGATGTGATGTAATCATTTGTGCGAGGTTGAGGTTTGTGGTGAAGCAGGTGTTTTGTCGTCTCAACAATGATAAGCTGAGCTGCATAGTATGTTTTACTGATAACAGATTTTAATCTCTGCTTCAATATCATACTACTTGTTTCCCCTCTGTATGGTACTTTAAGAAATATGCTTTTCTTCGGGACCGAGGAAACTGGGGGTCAACTGTTTTTTACAATGGTTGACGAACTGTAATGGATAACCGTTTTCCACTAGGGTGTCTGTCAGAAACTTATTCTCATCATCCATCGTATAAGATGTACAAATACGTTGGATTCTATTGAACAAGCATCTTACCAAGCCTCTCTTATATTTCATCGGACAAAAACTATGGAAATTCAAATACTGTCCTGTCCAAGTAGACTTCCTATATATTGATCGTTTTATAGATCCATCTTCCCTCCGGCACAAGAGTATATCAAGAAATGCAAGTTGATGGTCTTTTTCTTCCTCACATGTCAGACTGATATGATCTTGTACGGTATTAAGCCTTTTTAATAACCTCTTGGCATCCTCATCTGTGTCACATACTACAAAGATACCATCCGCATACCTTCTATAGAGTGTGACATTGGTGATTAGATCTTGGGCCATTAGTTCAGTATGTGACATATATAAGTCAGCTAATAACGGTCCTAATGGACTCCCCATGGCTACACCATCAATTTGCCGAAAGTGTTCACCTTAGAAAGTGAAATGAACCTTATCAGTACATAATAAAAGCAGTTCTTTCAAATAATTTGAAGGAATAAGGGAAAGAAGGATAATTCGAAGATATGTGGTCACAAAGAATATTAATTGTCTTCGTTAGATGCACATTTGTAAACAGAGAGTTAACATCAGAATACATTTTACTTATTTTTAATATTCAAATCAGTAAGATAATCAACAAGTTCAAACGTATCTTTCAGTGAATACACTTCAACTTACCAATAAACCACGTACATTCCTAAATCGATTACCCATAACACCAGCCATACGTTTACCTCTGTCAATTGGTCCCTAAAAATATAAAAATTATTTTTCAAATGAAGACTATAAACAGCTAAATAACTAAAAGAAAATATTTTAAAGCTATATATACTCGAACAGACTACTCAGTAGTCTTTATCAAAAAGTGTTGTAACATGAGCTATTAGTAGTGGATTTTTTAAAGGCTGTAATAAGTAATCTTATATCACTGTGAAACGGAGAGTCATTTGTTCAAAAATCACTTTTTCATTGCTTTCCAATTTCAGCGATTTAAGCACTGAACCATATGCTGAAACCTTCTGATACGCACAATTAAAACAGTGAGCTTGATGCAATAGTATACATGCACAGCTTACAGTTATTTTTACACGTCAACATATACACAATCATTGATTAGAAATGGTCCATCTTTCTAGCCAGTAAAGATCGGTTAATGATGGATAGTAGCAGGTAGTGGAATTCAGCTTGACGTGCGTTTCGTCTTGTTTGGGACTCGTCAGGTGGATGTACCTATCTCCCAGTGAGTGATTCCACCCCCCGGGACTCGAACTTAGGACCGACTGCTTCAAACGCCAGTGTTATCCACTAGATCACCGAGTCACGACAGCTACTTCCTGTGCGACGGGTATAGTTTGAATGTTATTGCCTGGATCCCACTGCTAACAACTATCCATCATTAATTTATAACTCAAAGACGGGCAACATCGAGGCGTCCACCTAGGAGCAGATGTTTTTTACACATATATGACTCATAAAGTTTCAAAACGACTTGTAGGTATTCTGTTTATTTGGTTACGACTGATGATATAACATTAAACTATGTCCACACAGTCAGTTTAAATCGAATTACGATAGGAATTTCTATCCAGCGGTCTAATTCTCCATGCTTCACATCCGTACACCAACATCCATCATGAAAGAAAACAGAATTGAGATGATGTAATGAAAAATCGTAAAACGTCATGGAAAGAAGAGGGAGAGGGGGGACAAAGCAAATAACAAAATGTGATACTGCATACAAGAAGACACTGAGGTGTAGATACATGTATACTAATCAGATCAATTGTCAGGAGGTATAACTGTCGCTTAAACCCAATGTGAAAATTTACACGGCTTAGATCAGCAAGTTCAGTGACTAGTCCTATTTATTTAGTTGTCACCTTTGATGTTTTCCTAGCCTGAATCCCCTTCAGCTAGCGTTGAGTGATAAGCTAGATGGTGAATTGACATAGGAACCCCTGACTGATGAACGTTAATTAATTATTGTTGACGAAATCAATCATCATTACCACCTAATAGAATATAAACCAATAAAATACATTTTTACAAATGCTTAGATCTGATAAGAAGCGTACACACTTACTCCGCTTCCTGCAGCACTTCCCATTCTTCGATGAAATTTTGTTGAACTATGACCAGCACAACCACCCTTCATTCCCCAACGTTCAATGACACCTTGAAAACCACGATTAATGCTAAAATAAGTGGAAATATAACAAAGTGATGAGATCATCACTAGACTAAATATGGTTCTACATTGAAAGAAATAAGTATTATAACTCAGAATTATTTTTCAAACAGGCTGTATGTGACCAGCCTCAAGTAGATGTCCTCTGGGCTCTGTGATCACGTACCAACTCTTTTTTTTCAGGCACCTCAAGAAGAATGAGTCTCCCACGGTATGAGCAGCCGGGAAGTGCCAACCGATCTCACAACTCTGTCAATGTGTCTAATTAACGATAATTAGTTGTTTTTATGAAGTGACTAAGCTAGTAAAAAGATGATGACGAATGAGTTTTCAATATTACTGATGACACTTATCTGAGATAACCTAAGTATGGCACAATCAAAGACATTGTCGGATATATTATGTACTACTTAACGGCTCAATTGGCCAGACATCCAATAATCCCATTGAAGTACAAGGCAGTAAGATGAAATAGAAAAAGAGAATGTAATCAAAAGTTGTAGAGAGTTATGAAAAAAGATGAAGACGAAATATGATATAATGACTATGATGAAGATATTGTGTGGACACATCTGCACCACTGAGATCAATTCTGCTTCATTTCACATATCCTCCGACCATTGACTTCGGTTGTCATGTGGATAGGAACCTAGACATCTACATTTCCCTACACAGCTCAGATCAAGTCAAAGACTTCGTTGACGGGTATCAATTTTTTTGTCTGACCACCTTTGATCTCATCCCAGCTAGAACACACTCCAACTGCCATTGTGCGATGAATTAGACAGTGAATAGGCATGAGTGACAAGTGTGCCAGTCACCTCACTGTATGAAGGATCACAGCTTCAACAAGTAGCGTAAATCTCTTACCTAAAACTTTACCTCTGACTTTGTTACTCACGTGGTGATTCACCATACGCCATGAAGGCTACTCATGGTCGAATGCCTGAAGCTTTCTCATGTTCTACGCCTTTAGTGACCGTGTTACACACCTATATAATAAAGACCGAACTGCTGTGAAGTACACTTTACTTTTAATAAACAAGCAAATATTTCACCGGTGCCAGTAAAAGCTAACTGAACCTTTTGTATCCTCGCGTAAATTTTGTCGGGTTTATGATGCCTCAGGTATGATCAAACTTCCCAAATAACCGAAGTAGTCAACGCTACTGATACACACCATTCGTGAAGTGACAGTTTGCTTTCACCTAGTGAGAAATGCATCGTAAACACTACCAAACTATCACTTGATGACTCAATAAAACTCTACATCTTGTCAAGATGTCTATTGAAAAGAACTACGTTATCTGATTGAATACCTCATCACTATTAATGAGTCTCTTGTGACAAGGTCAAATTGAGTTTGCTCATTTTTCTGTTTTGGAGTTTGAGATATCTCCTTCCCAGATTTAATTTATCAACACATTTCAAGATATATACAGTTATTTAGCTATTTAAACAAACCTATTGTATTAGTCAAACTTCGTTGGGCTCTAAAGCTTTAGGCTTATCTAGCCAGAATCATCATTATGCAATAATATACATCCTATTCTTCATCTAAAGGTATTATTATTATTTGTCACTTGAGTTCCTAGTGGAACATAGGGCTTCAGTAGCACGTCTCCAGTGCACTCTGTTCTCTACAATCCTTTGAACCTGTCGCCACGACTGCCCACAAGCTCTCATTTCTTCTTCGCACGATCTCCTCTATGTCACCCTAGGACGCCCAACTCCTCGCTTCCCATCTGGGTTCCACTCGAGCAACTAGCCTGGCGTGTGATGTCCCCCATCTAAAGATATTCAACTACTATTACAATTCCATCCGACTGGAAAGGAGTTAACAGTTTTATCCATATCTTGAATTCTAATGATTATCACAATTAGATACTTTTCCTCCAAGTATCTCTCTGAGTAACCTTAGTATAATGTCCAAAGACCAAGTAAGCTGTCATTTCTTGAGTAATACAGTGCTTTCAGATATTCAACTAATTTGTATGAAAAGACAATAGTTCTTAATAATTTATATCCGGAAAAATCAAATCCAAAACGAGCACTAAGTCGAACATTTAACAGCTGCTTGAAATAGATATTTAATTTGGAGGTTCTTGAGAATTTATTGATTGATTTCAGATTTTCAACACTAATGTCAACAAGTCAGTGCTTCTATATGGTTCAGAGACTTGGTGCGTCACGAAAGGCATTTCCAACAAACTACAGATATACCATCAACAGCTGCCGCCTACGCTCACTCCATACTATACTGCAGATCAGATGGCCAGAAAGAATAAGCAACAAGGAACTCTGGCCTGGCAAAGAACCAATCAAGAACCCATCGCCTAACAAATATGCAGAAGAGGAAAGTGGAGATGGATTGGACATACACTGAGAAGACCATTTGGGGACATCACGCGTCAAGCCAGGCCGTCGAGTGGAACCCAAAGGAGAAACGACTAGTTGAATGTTCGAGGCGAGGATGACATGGAGGAGATCATGTGAGGAAGAAATATGATGAGTACCAACCTTTGTCATTCTATTTTCAACAAGGCATGCGTATTTAGTAGATTCGTTACGAATGTAATGTATTACAGTCATCGAGTCTGTCCGGAATGTTATACGCTCAGTTTTAAACATGGGATCGTGACAAATTCCAATGATGTTACTGTCAATTTTCCAATTATTAGTCAAACATTGACTTCATTCTCCAAACGTGACCCAATAAAAGTGATCACTTCATATCCAACCTCTTATGACTTAGAATGTGGCACACTATCGTTATGTCTTGTTAGGTTGAATAACCGAGGTACCACCATATTGTCCACCAATATTAAGACTTTTGACTCAGTTATTCCACGTATATATGTCAAATAATCATATAACGGGTTATCCAAGTGAAAAACCCCTCTACATTTCTCTTGAGTAGTCAATTTTATGTGGAGATTGAACGGTGAAATCAACCACAATGGATCAAAGAGAGATGATAAACGTGACAGAACATATGTAACCGGCAACCGGCTGAAGAGGTTCTTTCAATTAAACTCAGAGTGTATCATCATCAATCTTCTACCATATTCTTCAAGTATATTCGATATACAAATTACTGGCGAATGAATCTTGTACCAATGAAGCTTGATCTTCCAGGTAAGATCTCGTCGTGTTTCTCTAGACTGTTAGATACTTGTTTTGTTATTAAATGATCTGCTTTGACTGATGCTTCACGTCTCGTGCTGTTCGCAGGTTATCCAAAGATGCCATGCAGTCTACGATATCTTTTGTCACTAAGTTGAATGTAGGAATGAACTTGCGTGGTGCAAATTTAGTGCAAAAAGCGACAAAATTGCTCAAAATAGGTGCAATCGCATTGTATAACCACATAAATCGCCTCTTGGGTAGTTTTCCAGCTTCAAATAATCTCTACCATCAGTTGATACCTCCACTTTCAGAAACGTCTCCTCTGTGTCTGCTGTAACAATTATATTTGGGACTTTGTAAATCTCCGTAGCAAACCCAACAAGTATGTTGTGTAGTTGGATTCACTTAACAGCGAATCGTTAAATGACTCACACTCGTTCTTTGTGTAGCAATCAAGAACCACATGGAGCTTTCCAAGTTTACAAGGAATAAAGGCAGGGCCAATAAGGTCGGTACCATGTTCCAAGTTTATTTTACCAACATAACCTTTTGCATCATCCATGACCGTTCTCATATAATACAGTAAATTCCACTACCAGTCTTGTCTCTTTGATATGTAGTGTTTTCCTCTATTGTCAACAACAAACTACCTATTCAATAAATCCCTGGTTGAAATCTCCGTTGAGGAATCAGATTTTGTGATGGTACACAGCACGGGGTGGTTGGACACATTGGGCCTTTAATCAACTAACCCAATGCGTCTTAGTGGCATTTAGATCCATGCTATCTCCCCTTCCAACACTTTATCAACTTCTAAGATACTGCAATCAATGAACACTTTCGTTTCTTCATCCGATTACTTTGTTAACAATATATTAGCCAAGTGAGGCTTGTCAAAAAGTAAATCATCCTTAGTAATACACTCCAAAGATTCAATCATGTTGCACCTTGTTTGTCCAAAATCCATTTCTCTTCATTCGAGATTCACAATTAGATCGTGAATGTTATCATTTATTTGTCAACTCTAGGATAGAGCTATGAAAAAGAAGAAAGTCTAATTCACCAGAAGGATAATTTGCCTATAGTCAATTCCTAGAGTCAACAATATCCGATAGTAAAGAACTGACATCTTAACGCAATAAATCTGAAAAAATGACGGACTTAAAGTTTATTAAAAAGGAACTGCAAAATTGACCAATAATACACAAGGTTAATTTACATGTTCTCTGTTTGTTTCTCACAATAAAATCTGTCAGCAAATATTACTACAAGTTGAAAACAATAAGTTTATTCGTTAGAAAAGTTGCATGATTAGCACATAACGTATTGACTGATACTCTACAAAGTACTTTTCAAGACCATGACAAAAATTGGAAAAGAAAATCGTATACATGGCAGTAAAAGAGTAAAAACAACATTGTATTTGATTATAATCGCTACATAGAAGCCACTATTATACACAATTTCCATTTATAAATCCCTTGATAGTTTCGCAATTATGCGAAAAGGCACCTGGATATTAACCGACCTAGTTGTTTACCGTATATACTGATCGAACTCAGTTGATTAAGAGCACTGAACCATATGAAACGATATTACAAATATGCTGCGTTAGAGAACGTCCTGTTCTGTTTTACGACTGTAAGACAGGACCGTTGAAAGTAGAAGACATGAGGCGACTAATGGGTTTTGATTATAGATGTCTTTGAAGCATTGCTCGTGTTTGATGGAATCACCTTGTGAACAATATCGAAAGGTACTAGGCAAGATAGCCAAGTCGATTGAAGGGGTTGTCAAACTTCATCGGCTGAGATGGCTTGGACATTTGTTGTTTATGTCAAGCCACCGCCTACCTCGACGGTAGTGACTTAAACCGATGACCTTGTGTGCAAGCTTTCACGTTGGTTCAGACCATTCTTGATTAATTTTCAGCCTAACTCTACCTGAGATTACATAGAGCATCGAGGTAGGTGGCGGGTCGGCGTGAGTAACTTATATCTTAACTAACTCAGCTGATGAAGGTTCGCAGCCTCAACAACCAACTTACCTCGTATGCCTAAGATCTTAAGCCTGACCTGGTTCATTACCACCATGTTCCTTCTGCGACACGTAGCTGGTGCTATTAAGGTAATGGTAATCGAATACCTGCGTTTTTCTCACGTACTCCACCTTTTATGATCCTGTTTAAGTTATACTTAAGGGTAGAGAGAACTGCTACTGAGTACACTCAACATTTATTGGGTGATACGGTTTCTCGACGAGGTGACAAGTTGGCAAAATCCAACCAAACCTTTTTAAATTGTGTCTAAGTATGCCAACTGACATAAATTTATACTAAGTTTTACATTTCTAAATAATACCAATACCTAGACACCAAAAAATAACTTTTCTAGTGACAAGATGAATGAGATAAGATTTATGAACAGCATAATTATCACATTTATAATATACAACTAAAATAAACATACGTTCTCGCAGTTACGTCCAAGTAATCACCAACACGAAAATGATGCACACTTAAAGGTGTTCCTAAATGTAAAAAATGACCGAAACTTCTTTAATGTGATGAGTTAAAAGTAGAAAATGATGCTAAGGAGAACTATTCATGAGTAACTCTTATTTCAAAACATTTTTACAACTTTCGTCTTATCGGTCGGTGTTCTCTGAGATTGGCTGACGCTAGCAGTTGACTGAGTCATGTTTTACTTATCATTTTCGCCTTTTGTTACTGCAATCTACGCGTTATTAACTGTTACATAACCCCAGATGTGAGAGTACACTTAGTAACAAGGAGAATTACTATGCAATTTGTTGATTGATGATTAGCACAGGAATTCAGAGATTCGTTAACTGAATCTACTCTTTATCCCACTAAGTGATAGTGTTCCCAATATAACACCCGAATTCACCACCCATAGATTCAGACATCATTGTTATTCATTAGGATACTAAGTCACGAGAATCCTCTTTTGTTTAATGAATATCCTTTGTGATTGTAATGATACGTGTAATTTCCCGTTGGTATACAGGGCCGGATTGTTTGACCTCTGTCGGCAGATGGGCTCCTATGCGGATGCCTCAATACTACTGGATATTCATGGTGTTATATTGATCTTGGTGACTAGCAAAGGAATCCAGGACGCGCGTTTCGTCCTATTTGGGGCTCGTCATTGGCTTAGTGGACAACACTCTGGCGTTTCAAGCGAAGGGTACTGAGTTCGAGCCTCGGTAGGGACAATACTCACTGTGATGCAGGTATGTACAGTCGACGAGTTCACCAAGATCCCTTGTGATTTATCGATACTTAATTATCATAACATCAGCCCGAATTTATCGGTTTCTCTTGGCTTATTGAATAGGTATCTCGATATTGCCTCAAGTTTAATTATGAGTCCATATATCTCAACGGAGATTGATGAATTCGATCCAGTACCACATAATTAATTACAAGTACCAATAAATAGTGCAAATTACTACTGAATTCATTTTCAGCAACAGTACGAATTCACCTGTTTTGTATATTACGTCTTGAAGAAAATGTTCATGATAACAGAAATTGTAATGAACTTAGAGTACGCTAATTAATTAACCATCATCTTGTCATTTTCTGCTTCCATTCATCGTGAGTTGTAGCAAACTGAATGACTACAACTGTGAAAATTCCTAAATGGTTCTATTTTTGACTGTCTTGTGCCAGGTGCAACTAATGATAGATGATAGGGGGCACTTTGTAACTTCAACTACAATTTTTAACTTCCTTTTCATGAAAATCACCATTGGATAAGGAAGAGGCTAGAATCTGTATTGTTGAAAAGTATTAACCGAGAGTAAATGACAACTTGGAAACTTTGGATCGGCAATAAATACTATTTGGGATGAAAATTGTGTTTACTAGAGCCACTGCTATACTATCAAACAAAGCAATCATCATATTTTGAGGTTGATGAGGATTTTATTTATAAGGTAGTATTCATCACGAACTGAAATCAGTTAAAGAATCATTCAAAACCTGGGAGCACAGAGAGTACTCGTCGGGAGTCGTATATTAGGTCGAAACAGCTGTCCAGTGGCTCTCACGTCTTCACTGGTTTTCCATGATGAATACTACCTTAAAAATAAAGTCCACATAAACCTCCGAACTACGCTACTGTATAGTACTCATCGGTGACATGCTTCGAGATGGACATTCCGAAGCTCTAAAGAGAAGGTGTGACCAAGGGGGATCAACCAGTCGGAAGTGGGACGGATCCCAACTGAAGAACTTGGTGAACAGTCGCACTATATCGCGAATCGACAGGAGTAGGAAACTGTGGACCATTAAATCCCAACCCCGTGGTTGGATGGTTAACACTTTGGCCGTGAAGCCTGACGGGGGGGGGAGTGGGTACATACTACTGAAAAGTCTTACACGAGGAAGAAACAACCTGCCCTTGTTCATGTAACTTATACTTACAAATTTAAAAAAGTGATTATAAACTCATATGCTTCACTGGTTGGTCGTAGCAGCACTAGTCTATATTTTCTCGTGTTTATGAATCACAGATTGAATTGAATACAATACGAAGGAATTCATAACTCGTATATTTGGAGTTCAGTTAGTTCAATAGTAAATGTGTTTATCAATGCATCTCAATAAAATATCAACACACTACAATGAATTAAAAATGCACAAGAAAAAACCACTTAGGCTGGAAAAATTAGGGACATAGATCATAGTTAAGTGACTATTATATTTCAATGGCAAGGATGAGAAATAAGCAATAGGTCTTTGGAAAGCTTTCAAGAGTGGTTACACAATACTGCAATAAAATAATCTCTTAGTAAATTATTGTCTCTTTAAAAAGGAATACAGTAACTGGTACAAATATGTAGCGCATTCGAAATCTTACTCATTCACCTTCCAGTTTCGATTTACAAACTGCCTCATTTCTTTGTTGTTAAGCTCTACCGTTTGTCAGTTATCTTTTATTATTGAATGTAAGTACATCCTGTTTATTTGCTGAGTCATTGGTTTACTTTTTTTTTCTCTTCCTCTTTTCCCTTCCAGATTCTCGTGGTCACCACCACCGAATCTCACCATTGTCTCATTCTTCTTTTCTCTCTTTTCGTACTTTATATTTCTTTTAACTGAATTTTCTATTCTTCATCTTGCACCTCACTGCCTTTTTACTTGATGTACTGGTATGAGCTGTGGTAACTCGGACCGTTATGCAGCAATGCCTGGTCCCATGTTGATACTGATGACGACCAAACGCACGCTGTTCTACCTGTCCCCTGCAACAACGTACCTACCTGCCTACCTACCTTTAGGCTAGACGAAAACGTACTAACAGCTGGATTTCACAAATATCACCTAGCCAAATCTTGTTTGTTTTCTTCGATGCGCTATAAATCACAGCAGACAATTAAAACGGAGATAGTAAGCAGTTAATCAATAATAAAATCTCAAGTAAAGTAAGTACCAGAACAATGGATGCACACAAATTCGCATGTTAACACATAGTGAATCATAATAAAGTGTCGAGAATCTCGGTCTGAAGTAAATGCGATGTGTGCCGAACTACTTTACCCTACACCCGATAAGTTGGAATTTTAACTATGTCAATTCACCTCCACTGAAAGGATAGGCTAAACAAGGCAAGATTTGTTACCTGTAAAAAAAAAAGTCTATCAACACTTAACAGAAATCATATTCAACTGACCAGGTTTTAACGCAGCATCTGGACTAACCAAGAAACGTGAAAGTTTACGCTTAGGCGGTACTCCGGCTTTTTTAAATATATCACACCATTCAGGAGTGAATTCAATAGGATCAGCAGAAAAAGCTCCAACCAACTGAATACCCCAACGTTTTTGTGTTATCCACGATGGTGGATGCTTATTATTTAACCAATAATGACGTGGATGTTGAAGGCTGATAAACTTATCAATTTCTGCTGGAGGAGTATAACGAATAGCATGATTGTCAGGTACCTAAGAAGAGATTTTTAAAAAGAATACGGTTAACATCAATGTGAAGAAATAACAAATCTTTATTAAAAAAGGATTTGACGTCCTATACTACTATTAGACAGTAGATTACGGAGAATGTCGACAGCAGCTTTTATCTGTCAGCGAATTTGTGTCTACAGAGTTACTTTATTTGTTTTATGCCTATTTAACTGACTTTCCAAAGTGATTAAGCGTCAACTTTTCGATGTTGACTGAATTCTGTCGATCCAGTTTGGTTGTTAAGCTGACTGAATCTACCTCATAATACAGTGTTGAATGACTAGAGGCAACCAACAACAAATGTCGAAATTCGGTACACCTTCCGGAAACCACTCTGTTAGCACCAATTACAGAAGATCGATTTCGTCTCTATATAGAACCACAAATACTTGGCCGTTGGGAAAGTGTCTCCATGACGTTGTACTCCATGAATTTACTTTTGCTTCGTCAGACGAATCAGTGTTATCAAGTTGTTATTCATCGTAGACTGACATCAGTTGGAGGAACAAAGGAAACCTGGAAGCGCTGGACAGCTGCGTCGTCCTAGTATGGGACACCTCAGCAGTGCGCACCCACGACCCCGCCTTCCACGGACCGAACCCGCGACCTTCAGGTTCCGTGGCCAGCACGTTACCATTGAGCCACTGGGTCGGAATCCAATGGTCCACACTTCCAACTTCTGTTAGCTCACGATATAGCGCAACCGTCACCCACTGTCATCGTTGAGTAACTGTCCTCATGAACATCAGGTTTTGCCCCCACCGGTCACGACTTCTCATTGGAACTTCTGGAATACCCTTCGAAGCTAGTCACCAATGAGCACCAGTTCCTGGCAACTTGAAACATTTCCAAATCCCCAAAACTCTCTCAAAATGCAATTGAACTGGTGCTCATTGGTGACTAGCTTCGAAGGGTATTCCAGAAGTTCCAATGAGAAGTCGTGACCGGTGGGGGCAAAACCTGATGTTCATGAGGACAGTTACTCAACGATGACAGTGGGTGACGGTTGCGCTATATCGTGAGCTAACAGAAGTTGGAAGTGTGGACCATTGGATTCCGACCCAGTGGCTCAATGGTAACGTGCTGGCCACGGAACCTGAAGGTCGCGGGTTCGGTCCGTGGAAGGCGGGGTCGTGGGTGCGCACTGCTGAGGTGTCCCATACTAGGACGACGCAGCTGTCCAGCGCTTCCAGGTTTCCTTTGTTCCTCCAACTGATGTCAGTCTACGATGAATAACAACTTGAAATATTTCCAAATCCCTACAACTCCTTCAAGAATCAGTGTTAATCAAAATACACAATACAATATGAGATTTGCGATGATTTTACTTTGGAAGCGACCGTCACCGATACAAAAAAAGATTTGAGCGTAGTGAAGTAACTACTAGCTAACTATCAGATAATAAGTAACGAATCAATAATGATAAGATCATTAGGTAACCAATGAATGCATAGCTGCGGTTCTGTCTGCTATAGTATCATCTTCCGCACGAAATAACATGTGAGTGTCCAACGATAGCAGCTTGATAGTTGTGATGCGTCAATAATTCTTTGTCTTCAGTTTTATGCTTTTGAAAATTTGCATCTTGAGGCTATGAATGCAATGACATTACTAAATTCAAAGTTGCCAAATAACGGGAGAAAACCTTCAGACATTAAATAATTTCGGTGTTTATGAAGTTGAGGTGGAAGACGTGAAAAGGACTCAGGTGCTTAACTACTATTGCCTTTGTAGCATAGACGGTGTATCGCGGTGTCACTACGTCAGTAATGCAGAAGTCAGATGCAAAGATTTAGGGAAGAGAGGAAAGTCAGTTGATGAGATCATGAACCTTCATTGACTGAGGTAATTGGGAAAAGTGTACCGAGTAAGAACATCACCTTATTGAGGGCTTTCTACTCGTGTAAGAGCCTATAATGGGATGTCCGGGGAGCTGTGCTCGTTGAGTGATGTCCGTCAAGAGTAACCTCTCTCTTCATTATGATCCAACTTCATCATAGATATTCTTAAAGAGGTCTCCCACTCGTCACCTGACTACACAGAGGTTGACCTAATCACAGGAGAATTTTCGTTAGACCTACAATACGCACATAACATAGTCAGTCCTGTTAGGTGAAGACGCTGACAAGATGCAGAGTCTTCTGGACATTTTGAGTGGCAATTTGAGAATGTTTGAGATGCGTTTTTCACAACATAAATGCAAGTTGTTGCTACAGGATTGGTCTTCGACAGTGCCTCGGCTAACAATAGACAGTGTAGTCGTTGAGTGTGTTAACCATTTCACTTACCTGGGTAGTCGGATCAGCCCTAGTGGCTCAGTGGCCGGCGAAATCTCTGCATGAATACAAAAGGCTCGGATGGCTTTTGCCAACTTACGCCACCTGTGGCGCCGCCGCGACATCCGATTGTCTATTAACAGTCGCGTATACTGCACACCATTCCGGTCTGTTCTACTGTATGGCTGTGAAAGATCGCCATTGAAGGTGGAAGACATGAGAAGACTTCAGGTGTTTGACCACCGTTGCCTTCGTAGTGTAGGCAGTATTCCGTGGTGTCACCACGTGAGTAACACAGAAGTCAGGTGTAGTGTTTCAGGGAGAAGAGGTAACTCAGTTGACACGGTTGTTGAGCCTTCATCCACTGAGATGGTTGAGACATATGTTACGTATGCTTAGTCGCCGATTGCTTCGTCATACAATGTTGGCCGAAGTACGTCCAGACTGGAAAAAGGCTCGAGGCGGCTAGACTAAAACATGGCATCAATGCATGAAGTATCTGACTGTTAGTTTGAGCCACGTGGGGTGCTGCAGACTAGCCGGTTGGGGTCGACGGGACAAGAGGAACTAGTGGTTGGAGACTGACTCTAGGTGATTTGGCTCAGGACCGATGTCAGTGGCGCAGATGTATCCCCACACACATTATCCTCATCCTAACGCTATACCGAATCTCACCATTTTTTCATTGTTTTTTTCTCTTTTAGTACATTGTATTTCTCTTGACTGAATTTTCTATTCATCTTCCACTTCACTGCCTTTTTACTTGATGTACTGATATGAGCTGTGGCGACTCGGATCGTTAGGCAGTAATGCCTGGTCCTATGTTGATTTGGATGGACGGATGGAGGCAGTTGGGATATACGGTGCGCATGCCTAGTCACTGTCTGCTTCGTCGTGAAATGTTAGCTGAAGTAGGTCCAGGCTGAAAAAAGGCTTGAGGCGGCCAAACTAAAATGTGGTACCAGTGCATGAAGTCTCCAACTCTTAGTCTGAACCATGTAGGGAAATGTCGACGAGGCGGTTAGGGTCCAAGCGACAAGAGAAACCGACGGTTAGCGACTTTAGTTGTTATGGATCTGAACCGATGACAGTGGCACAGACGTACACACATATTATCCTCGTCTTAACTGCTACACTTAATGTCATCATTTTCTCAATCCTTCTTCAAGGCTTTTACTACTTTTCACAGGTTCTTCATTACTTTTTCACCTTTTATTTTATTGATTTGTCACCTAATATGCTGATATGAGATGTGGCAACTTGGACCGTTACGCAGTAACACCTGGTGCTATTTTGATATTGATGATGATGTTTCTTCAAGTTATTATGAACTCTACTCACCTTTTTTATAGCCTATGATGTGTGCACTCAATATCTGTTCACAGTTTATGATCAGTCGACAACCAACCTTGAATCAAATTGAACAAGGGGCACAGTTACAAAAGTTAGTGCAAATTGTTGGCAAACATCAATCTATTCACGATAATGATTTATACTATAGCATGTGTACAACTCAAAGAAATAAAATCTGGAAAGAGAAGTAATCTCTTATGTTTGACTCAAGGTTTAAGGGGGGGGGGGTAAGAATAAGCTAATATTTGTACTAGAAATTGACCCAACCACACAGATGTGTAAAAATTGTCGAATCTTCGAATGGTCTCCAATGGTCACCCAAGCAGTTCTTCTTCGTATACAGACGCACAACCGATGCACTCCGATTTTTAGCTAGCACTACGGTAAAATTCATTCTTCGTCAATTTATTGTTTGCAATCTATCCTTAGGAATATAAGCATGAATAATAGAAAGGTATAACACACCACACATACACACATACACAACAATCCAATTTCAGTATGAAGTCATAAAGGTGGACGTTGGTAGGATTCCCATTGTGTAGAGTGCCCGACTCTAATGCCATCATAGTATCGGATAAATACATATGAGAAATACTTTCCCAGCTAACAGATGGAGAAACTAATTGGAAATACGGCTTTAAGGTCTTTAGGAAGTAAGCTTTTGAAATATAGTGTGTAATTAATAGCAGAATTGTGCAGTATTCTAGTCAAATTTGTTTGTTGCCTTGTCTATACTTATGTAGCGAAATCAAATAAAGTATTGCTATTAGTATGCATGATTTCAGAGTAGCTGAATTAAGCTTCATATGGGGGAGTGGTTTTAATGAAGCAGAATCGATGTAGACAGTTTGAAACTTTTGGAAATATCAGGCTATTGAACAAAGGTTGAATTAAGAAGCCTTATGCAAATTAAGTAGTAAGTCACAATATCAACACAATAAATCCAATTTTATAGACCTGATAGGGTACAAATTACATGAGTAGCTTGAAAGACTCTTTGTCAGACATGGAATTGAAATTCGTATAGGAACCGTAGTACTGCTTGAAGGTTTAGAAGGAAAAATATGTGCGCCATATGTGGTTATCTTTTATCTTTCTATTTGAAAATTCCCTTAACAAGACAAGAAAGCATAATGTACCGCATCTCTATCACAAGTGATTACCAATAAAAGTCTCTTCATTATCTTAGACCTACATTTCGAAATCGCAGTTCTATAACCTCAAATGAACTATCTGGGTTTAGTAATCCAGTAGAACATCAAATAGTTGATGGTTTCAACACTGTTAAGACTTCTTGTCAATTTTAATGGGCACTCCTTGCTCAAGAAGTACCTACCTACCTATCTGCCTAGAATGTGCTATAAAAACAGTACTTTTGACTTATTTAGTGAGCTGGTGGAATGATGATGTGCCAGTAGTGTAAAAATGATACGATTAAGTGTAAACAAGCAAAGAAAACAGCTCGAAATGTACAGTTGGTAAGTACAACATATAAGGTGTGTAGGAATCCCTAACAAAACTGTATCCCCATTTCCTATGAGACTGTGAAACATTTCGGAAATTTTTAATTTGTAGAGCCCCTATAATTTCACATAAGTGGTATAAAGTCACTTAATTAGAGGTTAATGATTCATAGATTTGTAAGTCCACCTGAATGATGAATATCAATTCAAACCTCTTGTACTACATAACATAAAAATTTAAGATTTCAGAGCTGCATAGCAAAAATATACTGGATTAAGTTACCTGGAAAATTGTACAGTCCACTTTTCGACCAGTTTTAGACCATAAAGGATACATTCCTAATTTGACTGCAATAAGACCACATCGTTGCGTTACATAAGGTGTCCATGGTACTTGGGTCCATTGTTCAGCAATAACTGGACTTTTATTGTTAGTTAATATATTCATGCGTTCTTGTTCTAAGAACAATTTATTTTCAGGTGTAATATCATCATCTATAAGAGGATTCGTCTGTTGAGTAATCCAGAATGGTTTTTTCCTATTCATCCAAGGATATAGAACCTTGTTTAAACTGCCCATAAATCTAACCGGTTCATTATAAATAAACTTGGCATTTGTTCTATAACATAATATAATACATTTTAGATAAATACTTATACCTTATAATGAGCGCTCCAAAATATGTCCCGATCATTATTCAATGCAAAATTGTTTAAAGTATTTCGCAGACTAATCGGTGATCACACTTGTCAAATTTTGATTGGTTAACCTATAACAGATGTTTTTAATAACATAGTTTATGCAATGCATATTGAAGTAAGAGAGAAATCATAATAAACTATTTAATTCAGTGAGATGGAAAAGTTTTGTGTACAAGACTATGAACCACATCAAAGCTTGCGATGGTATTCAGATGCTGAGACTAAAGCTGACGGTCTTTTTTAACTCATTCAGAAACACTGACTGAACAGAATAAGAGCTAATAATTGGACTTCGGAACAAAACATTCCCAAATTTCCAGAAATGCGTAAAGTTTAGTTCAGCTTAATGAATTATGGGTGCCACTTGCAAGTTTGAAGATATGTGTTGTTTAGTCATGGGAGGTGCAACCAACTTTATGTTGTCTAGTCTTGAGTGCAGACCGAATTCTATCGATCATATTTTCAATGTGGCCTCCAAGCTAGGAGGCTCAGCATCGCGGTGGCCGGTCCTACAGGAGGCCAGTCATGGCCTGAATAGCTCAGTGGTAAAGTCACTGACTACAATACTGTGAAGCGGGTTCGGACCCCAGAGGGGACATCAGTTCTGTCGAGGTTGCAGATACGCCTTGCTGACAAGTGCCAACAAGCATGAACCCTAGATCCAAGGCTTCCTACCAACTGCCTTCAACCAACTAACAAGTTTGAAGATATTTCTGAGTAGTTAAACAATTATTGAAAACTGAAAATTTCCGGAAACTGCTCAGTTTTATTCTGAGGCTAGTAAGAAGTACGAACTCATGAATGTCATAAGTTGAATGGAAGTGAAGGCATCAGATATAAGATAGCAAGCCCTTAACGTAATTCAAAAGTTCATTTATTCAGTAAAGAATCCGATTGCTTGTAGTTTGATCCTGTTATTGCACAGAAGTCACAGAATACAGTAAAACTTCTCTTTAGTACTCTCTGAATTTTATTCGTTGTCTCATTAATATGGAAATATGGTGAAAAATTTAACAGTGAAATCCATTTTACTGAATAACAAGAGTTGAATGCTTCCATCAATTCAATCACTAGAACTTGAACTTACGAAAGAGCAAAGAATTGTACTTAGATAGAAGTAAACTGGATAAATCGGAGGGTTACAACTGTGAACTGCTCCTAACGATTGAATATGATCCACTTTTCAACTTAATCGCCTAACTTTCACCCAAACTTCCCTACACTCGCTTTGATCGGATAATATAGCAGGCTTTTACATGCTAAGTGCGGTTCATAGCCTAGCACACAACGCTGTACCGTGTTCGTCAATTACTTACACTTTTCAGTTGCCAAAACAATTTTTCTTTCAGAATCTTAAAATATAGAAAAGAAAGGCGAACTGATCAAAGCAGAACACAGAAGTATTCAATGATTCGAACTGTCACAGATTATAGCAGCACAAAGAGACAATGAACAAAAATAAGAAATATTAAAATATGAAGGATATGAGGGACAACAGAGCAAATATATTCGGATTGATAAAATGTCCATAATTTTCATGATAAGAAGTAAATAAAAAGGCAATGCCGAATGATTTACTGAAGGATAAGCCTGAATTTCCAAGATCACTATGAATATGATCATGATTTGTATTTCAAAATACACAAGTTTTGTTATGCAATACATCATGCACATGCCAAACACTACCTGAGATTCTATCATACATAGGACCAAGCTACTGTCAGCACTGACAAGCTATTAGACGTTGTAGAATACTTTCATTTTTTGGAATGCCTACTTAGATTCCATGATGAATACAGGAAAAAAAAGCAGGAAAACCTGTGATGAGTTAGAAGATAGTATCAAGCGTTGGCTTTAGGAGGTAGTTAGGTATTTATCTGAACCTGGTAGTACTCCTCATCCGGATATGCTGTAGAAACAGGGGTAATGATGGCTGATAAAACCCGAATGATCTCTGCAGTTTCCTCCAGACTGGTGGGACAAAATTCATTGCCACTAGTTTTGACCACTACAAGAAGTGCGAAATGCAAATCTTAGCAATTGAACCCAATCCAGGTTTTGCGTACTAGGCTATAAGCCGCACTTTTTACATGAGGGTTTACGACACTAACTCGTTGTCCAGGCCAAAATAGTCGGGGCAGGACTTGACCCCGTGACTCATAAACTTGAAAATTAATTATTCAACCCAATGAGGAACGAAACTAACTGAAGAACTGCAAGCGCTAGTGAGTAGCAAAAGCAAAAGAGATGCGGAAGGTAGTGACTTTGGATAATGCTCAGCAGGCGATGTAGGCTTACGAAACAAACCGACACTAAAAAAGATGGTCATTGGGACTACCATCCAGAAAGACAGGTCCTTAAAAACCTCTCAGGATAGTCGGTTGGAATGCCAGGCAGAACAAATTGAGGAATAGTTCACCTGACGTACAACGACACTTTGCGAAACACTCTTTAACATGGATAGGATGTTTTTTGTCACTGTCTAACGTAGGATGCCAAAAAACTGATTTGCAAAAAATGTCAGTTAAAGTATAAAAAGTGAAGTGGCAGAATGCGTTGGACACTTCATTTACTCGGGTAGCTGCACAAAGCCGAATGGGGTGGTTGGTGACAAAATTTAAGCTCAGATACAGCAGGTCTGCTTGGTATTTGCCTACTTGCGCCATCTTTGAAGCAGGAGAAATATTAGGCTGCTAAACAAACGGCATGTATTCCACAGAAGAATACTCCATCCTAATTTGCAGCTGAGATCAAGATCAAATAAACCTTAGAATGACGTCACCAATCTTTTAAGTTTGTGACTATTGATGCGAGCCAAGTTAGAAATTCGGGAAGACCTAAGTGATATCTCTTGGATATAGGCAACAATAAATAGTGAATTTCGGTAGCACGGCGTGCAACCGACTATGGTGGTGAAGATGTCTCCACCTATATCTGCTACTTCAATGTGGTGGTTGAGCTTGCATGTCACACTACAAAAACAAGCTATGCTGGCTAGAACACTTGTTCCTGTTCCTCGAAGTGTTCTGCCCATCGTTCCAGTCGTCTCCCCTGCGAGTTAATCGCAGATCCGTCCTTCTCTGCTATAGCAAGGTGTAGAGTTTTAGGGAGAAGAGGTAAGTCAGTTGACGAGGTTATGAACCTTCATCGACTGAGATGGTTGGGACACGTACTACGTATGCCTAATCACCGATTGCCTCGTCACATAGTGTTGGCTGTGGTGGGTCCAGGCTGGAAAAAGGCCCGAGGTGGCCAGACTAAAACACGGCACCAATGTATGAAGTCTCTGACTGTTGGTTTAAGCCATGTAGGACGATGCAGACTAGGTGGTTGGGGTCCGCAAGACAAGAGGAACTAGTGGTTGGAGACTAGGTGATATGGCTGAGAACCGATGTGAGTGGCGCAGATGTATACACACATTATCCTCATCTTAACTACACTATACTGAATCTCACCATTTTGTCGTTCCTCTTTCCTTTCTTCTCGTACTTTATATTTCTTTTGACTGCATTCACTTATCTTCATCCTTCACCTCACTACCTTTTTACTTGATGTGCTGATATGAGGTGTGGCAACTCAGGCCGTTACGCAGTAATGCCTGGTCCTATGATGATAATGATTGGTTGACACTTGTTCCTGGATTTCCTACCATGCTAGGAGGGTATTACTATTATTATTGTTATTAATATTATTATCATCATCATAATACAAACACGGTACAACAAGGGCACCAAGAAATGCGCCACACAAAATAGCATAATAGAAGTGTGAAACCATGAAGTGAGGGGAAGTGGATAAATAAAAAAGAAAAACACAATAAGAAAAGAATGATTAGAAAGGCAATCTAATAAGCTACATTTGAAAAAACGTCTCAAGCAGCTAAGTTGCGAGACCTCTCGGACACCACTTCAGGAGTCATGGTGCACCAACAGATGCTAACCTGATATAACTATCCTTCATCTCACGGCGCCACGTCATACACTGACCACCCATCCGATTCTTCCATTCAGTAACAGAGCTAGCAAACAGTGAACTGTGTGGAAGCCGTTGGGATGACACGGGTAACACATGTCCAAGCCATTGAAGCAGGTGTTTTCATGTGGCTTCACTTACTGAACTACGATCCCCACCACGCTCAAACACACGCTTTCGTACCTTAGGATTACTTACACAGTGTTGCCACCGGATACGAGAAATCGTACGGAGACGACGATGATCGAACACACAGAGTCATCGCATATCCTCAGCTCGGAAAGGCCAGGTCTCATAGGCGTAGAGTAGAACTGCTTGCACCAAAGCGTTGTAAACCCGACCTTTTACGCTCAGACTAACGTTGCGACAGCGCTGCAGGTGGACTAGATTGGCGTATTCTACTCTGGTTTTCGATTTGCGGTTAGACATTTCATCACAACTACCCAGATACATGGGCTTTAGGACTAATTACACCGAGGGTGAGCACCGGCAGAGGCTGATGCCATTTTGCAAAATTACTTTGCACTTCGATGGCAAGAAGCAAATACTACACCTACGGAATGGAGAGGGAAAAGATAAAAAACAATTACCGTCATCATGTAAATAGCTACGTCATAATAAAGGACCTAGGGCAAAGTCGTGCTGCTAGCTGCATGACGTATGAGGGCAGCGAGGTATTTCCCACGGATGACCACCGATACCATAATGATGGGTTAGAGAAAAGGTCGACCGCAGATGTGGCTCACTCCTCCCTGCGCTGGCAAGGAGGGGTATTCCAGTGCTAATGGTATGGCCTTTAATTCTTGTTCGACGTTGGCACAATTAAATCTCAATCCAACAGTTCAAAAATAGGCTATGGGTGACCAGCTTCAAGCAGATGTCTCTTGAGATCTGCAGTAACGGAGAACTAATCCATTTTCTCTTTCAGATATCTTTAACTTCCACAGTGATGTGAGACCAAGAAGTACTAACAGTCGGTACTTTCTGCAATATACTAAAGTCGAAAAACTATAACCCACCC